TATCGTAATAAATTTGATGGTATTATTTTTCCTAGAGATTTCATAGCATTAAAATTACATTAAAACATTTACTTTTTCACACAATTCGCACATTCGTATCAAAACGTTTATCGTATAATCATAAACACTCCTTGACCACGAACTCATAATGGCAGTGTAGTACATGGCTAGTTATACTCATCGTTAATATCAGAGTATCAACTCAATTGACTAGAGTTTCAAAAAATGTAATAAAAAATGCAACTTAACGTGCTGCAGTTAATAGAATAGGTACTTACTGATAGTGAAACCCATAAACAGAGTTGTCGATGATAAACAATAGTGAATTCGTTTTATTGCCTGACAGCGGGGGTGGTTTTGTAAAAGCATAAATTTCATCCATCTGCTGGTGCCATTATTGTATAGCGTAATATGATTTAAATATTATAGGTACACCTAATCGTTGTTCGGTGGACCTTGATGGAGTTGATGAATCACATTTTTACGGCCCACGCATACACGGAGATTATAATTTATAAATACGTTTTGTTGCTCTTGTGAGTATGTGCGTGTACTTATACCTATACATGCATTGTTCGGTCGACTGAAGGTTATGTCTTGTGGTTGGGTTGTATATAATTTTCATCGTAATTCAACCCACCCACACTACCCCCTCCCCCACGGCGTGCACCACACGACTAACACACGTTTCAGGGGTGTATGATATGTGTATACTGTGTGCGAGTACAGTGTGTTACTGCAGTGGAACGCGGTAAACGTGAGGGGTAGTATTATAGGTATATACATTATAGTGTGAGATCGTTGTGTGTGGCAAAGTGAACGGACGAAAAAGAGAGATAGGGAATTATACGGATGCTGTTACGGCAGTCGAAAAGTCCCTTTTCTTCGATGAAATATATAAAATATTGACTTTTCCAACAAACCGCAACGAAAATGATGGCGGTGGAGGTGTATAATACGGGAAAGGGTAAGGCCGAGTCCGAAAAAAGGAACACGAGCAGCTATAGGAAGACAGAGAAAGAGAGACAGTGAGAGAGAGGGTAAGAGAGAGAAAGATGACTGGGAGTTTGAAAGAGAATATTATCTTCCGCCCAAACGATGATAAACGAAAACGCCACTGCACACAATGGCAACTGACTTTTGCTTTTTTCCCCCTCTACCACCTGCACTGCCACACATGGTTCTAATGCTGTTTGTTTTTCTGTAGAGATCTTTATTTTAGTTTATCTTTCTCTTATTCCCCCTTTTTTTTTTCTTTCCTTCCTACCAAAAACCTTTTATTTACTTATCGCGGATTGAATCGCCGATTTCCGTAAGATACAAACGAAAGTCTCATCTCACCGTGGACTAAGTGTTAAGCTCATTTTTACTCGCAAAACTTTATTTTTGGCCCGTGGCGTATTTGCTTTATATTGCTGTCCTCACGTAATATACCTTTAGATTTGTGGCGTCTGTGTGGTTATATGTCCGCTCTTATTGTCCACTCCGACGACTGTTGCTATAGGTCACAAAATTAGATATAGGCTAGAGATTTTTTTTTTCAATTTTTTTTATTGGTTTTTATTTTATTTTATTTTTTGTGACACTTTGAAGACAGTTATTTTCAAGTACGCTTAACGTGTCTAAGAATGCGCATATAATGACAATAGTGGAACTACGACGTGCGCTTATTACGAATCTCGTGTCACATGGAAACATATTAGATTAAACCCAAATCACATGCTTAGTGCCAAAGCGTATATAGATATGGAGCCCGGTTTGACACGCGCGAACGGTTGGAGAATAGTTTTGTATATTTGTAGAAGGTTTTCGAATCTCGATCATGCTTTTCTTTGTGGGTAAAAAAAAATGGATGAGCCAAGTTTCTTTTCGGTTCTATATGCAAAACCTAATAATCTTATAGCTTTTGAAACTTTTCATATTAATCTACTTGGAATGGTAGCGTATCCAATCGTATCCCTAACACGTGAGTTGTGTCCCATGTGGTTACTTGATAAAATAATGGATCGATATACGTATTTAATTTAATTTTAAAACGTGAGACTCCTACGATTGATTACTAAAAAAACAAAAAAAATTATTATTTACATTCTTCAGATATCACCTGGTTTTGACAACATAGTATCAGAATTTCAGATAAATAATAACAATTTAATAGCTGTCGTAATTTATGAAACTATAAAAAACCTTGATAAACAATATTAAGGTAAAATAAATTCAAATATTAGTAACTTGTAATTGTATGTATATAATAGTAACTGTATAATATAATAGAAATTGTATGCCATCAATTTAAGCCCGGTGGTGTAAGAGGGCCCACTATGGATTTTAACTTGTTCAAATTACCTTACAATTAGGTATTTAATTTCTTAAAAATTCAAAAAACAACTGAACATTTTAATAAACAAGTTACTTAATATTATTTTTTAATAAAGAATAAAACTATGCCCATCATCAGATATAATATAGTTTGATGGTAAGATTTTATTAGTTATTAATTAATATAATATTAAGATATACAAAATAAGAAATAAAGAATAAAAATAGTTTTTTGGTAGAATATAATATTATAATAAATAGGCACTATGTTGCTTTATATATTCGAAAAAGCGATATCATAAACCATCGTACAATTTGGAAACAAATAAAGAATAGGTAATGAAATTAGCGAAGATTTTACGCTATAAATAATAAGCTTAAAAACTTTTCTTTGTAAACAAAAACTATAAAAGATTTGGCTCTTTACATTAATGAAAAATACTATCAACAATTTTACCAGTCGTTTTTGAAGGGTTAACGTAAAAAACGTCCTCGGTATTATTTTTAAATATTATATGTTTTGAAATAGTTGGAAAAAAGTAACTATTAATATTCAAATAAATACTAAAAATAATTTAATAAGTACGTTTTTGTAAAACATTGGAAATTTTTATAAATAAACCAAAATTTTTATAGGTAAGTATACTTTTTATTACTTTCTATTCATGGCCAAGCCAAAACACATTATAAAAATATCAAAATCTTTGAGACTGTTTTTTACTGATTTTATTTTTTAGTGTGTGTGTGTGTGTAAGTATAATTTCTCTATAACTAGATATATTAGTCAAAATCATCGAACTATAATAGCAATCTAAAATATCAAGAAATAGAGGTCGAAGAAAAGAGAGGTTGTTATACTGATAAAATCAAATTTAATTACCTTTTGCAAACAAAAAAACTAGAAAGAATAACCTTAATAAAAGGTACCTACTTACCTGATTCAAAAGTTATTATATTTTTAATAGTAATTATATTGTATTTATAACTACCTTATATATCATATTTTAATTTTATTTTAATCAATATAAAATATGTTTGGTAATATTATATTGAATAATATGACTACCTATTATACACATAGTAGAGGAAATTAGAGTTATATTACGTAGATAATGAATAACTATATAGCGGGTGAACCGAGGAATTTTAAATCTAGGTAAAGAAATTTACTTATGGTTTTACAATATTATGTTTTTTTTTTTAGTTATCACTTTATCAGCTATCATTATTAAATCAGTTAAAATATTTTAGTCTTCAACTTTGTTGGTGGTTTCTGTACAATAAATAATTCAAAAATAAACAATCGTAGATACCTATCTACATAAAATATTTCATTTAGCATTATCTAGGCTTGGTTTGAATTCCAAAATATGTTGGCTCTCTTCGAGCTATTTATAACCATTCAAAATTTTCTTTTAAACTTTTTTTTGTTTTTATTCTATATATTTATCTAACCTAACTTTGGCCCCGTTAAACTTGTATACGACATCGTATGTCACTACAATAATATATCAACAATGTGTTGTATAATATTATACTCTCTGGAATATTTATATTTTATAAAACCAGTTACAAAGAAAAAGAACAATTTTAAATTCTTTAATTCAAGTTTACACGTCGATAATAACATTATTCTAGGGGTTATTTTTGGTAAAAGCATTGTCATATTCGCGTAAGTAAATGTATGAAATGGTAATAAAATAATGTTCAACATTTATATAAAAAATGTCATAAAACGATGACCTAAAAATAAACTACATTTTATCTATAATGGAAATCAAATTATCAAGTGATTTAATATGTCAAAGTAAAATTTTATTTTTCTTAGACTCCATTTTAGAATATGAGTTGAAAAGTTTTGAAGAAGTGTCAAAACCTCTAAAATCATTTATATACAAAAGAAACTGGAGAAAACAGTATACTAAGTAAATACTTTTAAAGTATAGAAACCAATACAACGGATGAGCAAAGTTAGAAGTGCTCTTTTATAGATTTGGCCTATAGATGACACAAACACTGTAAGTTTTAAGTTTATAAACCACAAAATATAACGACTGTGTCAAAATATTAATAGCATATAAATAGGTGTATAATTTATAAGTAATATCTGTTGCAAGTATTTCTATAGAAATTTACGACATTTACTCACCGTATTTGATTTTTATGCACTATAGTACTAAGTACCTACTTTAAGTTATTGGTGATTAACTTTTCAGTTACAACTTACAAGTGTAAATTAACATAATTTATAATAGTATAAGAATTCAATAAAAATTATTTAAACGATATAATGGAATCAATAAATTACACATATATATTTTATAAAGGAAATAAATACAATAAGTTTTAACAATAATAAATATTTATAAAAGCAAGTCACCTAAATATTTTCAATATTTACAGTTTAATAATTTATTATTTACTTGTAATCGTAATTTCTATGTAGTTTTGTTAGCGATCACAGATGTGTGAATAAACAATAATGTAAACCATTACGATTTACAAGTATTATTACAAATATCTATATTATCTGCCATATTATGGTATTGAATAGTTTGGCATATAGGATACAATGGATTGAATGACCGAAATTAGTTCACTCGCTTTGCTATCAAAATTAAAAATAAATTATTCATTTTTCATTCTGGTTGGTTGTCCGTCTACCAACTCGTATTCACATCCTATTTTCTCAAGATCCATAGATCTTTGTTTATTCTGCTAGTGATGAATATGCCTAAGATCATAATACTTGACCAGCCAAATATGGATAGGAATCCCAAGTAGACAGGCTCAGAGTCGAAGGACCAGCCCTTAGCAGTTACGGCCAGCAAAGCCTTGACCGGTGCAGTCAATGGAAACAGAGGACCAGTTAATTTCAGTAGGTAATGTGCACCTTCCAAAGGCCATATCAATCCTGTTTCCCAAAAATAATCCAACAGATTAATATTTTTAACCAAAATATTCTAATACACCTAATATGATTATGTATTAAGTATTTAAGCCCGAATTATTTCCATAGTGGGTTTTTGAATTTCTCCACTATACAAATTCAGACATGATTAGTGTATTAAACTATAAATAATAATTGTTAAAAGAAATTACCGCAAGTGAAAGACATCATTATGTTACTGCCAGTGCCTAAGTACGTGGCAAATATGAAATCTTTGCATATGGCACCAATAAAGAAACCTGTAGAATTCAATAAACATTTTTACAATCGATAATAATATTATGAAGGTATAATAAGTCACATAAATATAATACATTTTATTTTTTAAATATCAAGGAATAGATAATTAGAAATAAAATATTTGAATTTAATCGTGCATAAGTTAACACAGAACATTTTGCTTTATTGACTGTAAACAAAACTAGAATTGCTTATAGCTTTCGGTGATTTTGATTTGTTAACTTACCGAAAATCATTCCTTCCATTCCTAGGAGTATGAGTATAAGAACTGTGGGAAAATGATCTCCAATATAAGGATTGTCGAAGTATATGTACATCACATACATTGATATGGCCGTTTGTATAGCGTGTATTATCATTTGCATTATGACTGTAGACACTAAAACTTCAGAGAATTTAATACCTGCAATAAACACGGTCAATTATATTTTAATGGTTTGACAATCATAATTATCCAAGCCCTAAGGTATGATAAACGGACAGTAATTATCTAGTTTATTTGATTTTCGTTCAGGGGTTTTTTATGGTCAATCCCGATTTCGCTATTTATTATTTACATTGTTTTGTATTGTTTACCTGCAAAAGAGCATGTTTACGATTTGGGATTATAATTGGATGTTTCCCAATATCGAAATGCTTAACCACGCCGGCCCCGTGGGGAAATATACGGGCAAAAAATATTACATTCACATATTGAATTTGTAATTTAAAAATATATATATATATGTAATATAGATATACTCACCAGAAACCATCATCCTTTCCATCATGCCCTCTTTTTTCTCTGTTAAAATCAAACCCGCTGTCAACAGTACCGGCAAATAGTAACAACACCTGTCGAAACAAATCGCAGCCGAAGTTTAATCATTTGTATCACAATGCACATGACACTTTATCTCGTTGCCATGTACAAACAAAGTTGTCATTATATAATTTCGTCATGATGCACTCATCCCCCTCCCAACCATCGGAAGAACCCATTACACGAATATGGACCGTGAGTGCACGAGAAACGATATTATTATTTTGGAGACGTCTAAGTCGCATGCACTATACTCGTATATTATATTATATTATATTATATTGTTATGGTAATATAACGTTTAATAAGATGTTGCGTATTTTCCGTCAATATAATATTGCCTCCACTCGGGAACCCCTCTGCTATTTTACCCTTTCCCTTATGATTACTCGATCTTACCCGACATGCTCGATATAAATCCCTTCTCCCTGTCTTTCTCTATAACGCCCTCAAACGAATTTTGATCAATTTGCATACGAAAGACAGTACACGGTCACCTATTCGCATTTTCCTTATGTACGTCGATCGCTAATGACGAATCGAGACCAATATGTGAACGTCAGTTTTACTCTGTTACATTTTGTTTGATTTAAAGTTGAAAGGATAAACACAAAGAGACGTGAACTGATAAGAGCAAAAATACGGTTTATACAAATAAAAGTAACGCAAGACCATCTATACTGCAGTTCACCGAAAGTTAAAGGCACAAGACAAATGATCAAAAATCAAAGTTGATGTATTCGAATATCAACTGAAATCTACATAAAAAAAATATTGAGAATACTCGACTCGTTTATGGTTGTTTCTTGACGGATACAAAACTTTTATATACATTTATAGAATGAAGATATATCAACAGTAAGGGTATTATTATCAGATATCTACAATAGTTTTCGTTTTAAAATCTCGAATTTAGATTATGAAGTAAGGAATTATTTTTCTAATTGACTGTTTGAAATTCCATTTGATTCTTCTGTAAAAAAATATTTATATATTTTCTAGAGTTTTTTATATATTTGAAAATAAAAAAGTTACATAAAATATTATACATACGAGTGTACACATATTTCTGTAGAAAAAAATTTATTAACTAGCTTAGAATTATAGAATTTTTTAAAAACTATTGCAGGATTATGTTGTACATTATAATACCACGATTTAATTTATTAAATACAAAAAAGATAATATTTATGAAAAATTATAACCTAAATATCGTAAAAAAAATTACGTCATCCTAAAAATATATAATATTCATAATAATTGTATGAGATAAATTTAAAAAAAAATATATTTCATTGTTATGAATTTAAGTGGTTAGGTATTGAAAATAAATCAATATATATTTTAATACATAAATTAAAATGAAAAGTATTAAGTAATATTCTGTTTAGCATGCGTGTGCGAAACATTATTATATCATATTATGTAATCTAAACCATTAAAAGTACCTACAACTAATATTTATAGTTTTAATGAAGACAAACATTATATCATGCAACATTCGGAAAATATTTGTCTGATAAATAAAATTATCACATTCTATGTATTTTACGCTGTAAGATTTTCAACAGTAGAATTCCAACCTTCTTATTATTCTTTTATATATTCCCATAATCTATTTAAGATGTTCTGAACTTTTGTATTAACAGATTTTAATACCAGTCTTTTGGAAAATTTTCCTTTTGTTCCAGTGTTTTCAAAACTGAACGATAATATTTAATTTAATTAAAATTGTACTATCAAAAATAAAACAATTAAAATAGGTATGAAAATCATAGTATATTTTTTTTTGTCGGTACCATAAAAGTAAATTTTTAGTTTAAATATTATATGCAATTCAAGTATTATTATTATCCCATAACATTGTATTAATAATCATAATAATAATAATATACTTACAGACATAGTATGGCTGCCGAAGCGTAGTGAATGAAAGTTGTATTTACCGAGCCATATACTGGTTCTCTAAACTATAATAATACAAAAATATATTAATAATTCCATTTTGAATTTTTTCCCGAATATTATTGTAAATATACAAACCGATATAGGAGTGTTTCCAATTTTAGTGCTAACATTACATTTAGCCAATGCTACACCCAAGTACTCTTGCATACCAAAAATAACGTTTGCTTTTACCATATTCCCAATGTATTGATCTATGGTAAAAAAGACACAATATGAATCAACATACACATCGTCAAAATTGAATTGATTTAAATTTTATCAATAATCGTTATTGAGTAGGTATATCAATTGAATTATATTATTTATTTTAGGATATTTTAAAGTTAAAATAAAATGCATGCTTTTTAAAAATATATACAATTGATTATTTACTATCTTTGAATACCTATATTAGCCATTAATGTCAAATATTTTTAATTTTAAGTTTATTTGCTTGGAAGTAACTAAAATATAGTTATTACTCCCAATTCCTTCTTAAAGTTTTATGCATTTTAAACTTTATTTTTGGTAATGTGCTTTTAACATGGAAACTTTCAATCACTTACCAGACAAGTCTATCCAAGCCTGTACAGTACTTAGTTCTACGTCTAAGTCTGAAGTCCTAGAGGCGTTTACGAAACGTACAGCCATGGATGTTGTATAATTAGTAGGGAAATATAGTAATCCCCAAGCATCGTTCTTCCTTACTGCTTTTAAAGCAGTATCGACATCGTCGTAATGTAACTGTTAAGGAAAAAAAAATATTGAATTGCTTACAACAAAATGGGTTTTCTAATGTTTTTTCTTAAATAATATTATATTTTTAATATAACTTAAATATCATTCAAATAATCACAATTCATAAAAATTAAATAAATTTTCGTAAGTAGGCATATAATAATATATGGTTTGTAATTTGTCTTTCCTATAGATTAATAATTTAGTTTTTATATAGTTCTCCCGATCTTAAAACTAGAAAAATACATTAAAACTAATTGAAAATAAAAAAAAATACATATAATATTTACACCATAGTATTATTGAGCGAGTGTCGTGTATGTATTTACTCAACATATTGATATATTTATTTTGATAGGTATTGAATTGTTTTTTATGATTTTGAAAATCAAAAATCAGCAATTCAAATGTTATGTTGTACCCATATAAGAAAACAAATCTTATATTGTAAGTTTCAGAATAAAGTTAAAGACATTGGAAGAATATGGTAGTCCCTTGCACGAATTCCATTGAGACCACACATGGCTTAACGTTGTTAACCAAATATGATTCAAAAGAAATGAAAAAAAAAATAACAGAATATTTGTTGCAAATATTTTTATATCATACATTCATACCATATTATGCACAGCACAAAGTAATGGAATTTAATAATACCTTGTCAACTATGAGCATATATTTCGTTTATCAAAGAATATTATACATTTATCACACACACCTGCAGGGTCATTCAAATTTTTATACCCAACAAAAACGGTAAGGATTATGATATTAAGTACCTGCGTAATCATTGTACCCAACTTTTAATCCCTAGCATTTACGTAATGTAAAATTTGAACGACCCACATATACATAATACATGTATAATATGAATACATAAAAATAGTATATACTGGTGAATAAAATACTTTGAAACTAGAAAATATTACAGTTTTTAAATCCTTTTTAATACTTTAGTTTGTAAACATATTAATAGAATAATTATGCATTTATACTTTGGTAAACAAACAAAAAATAAAATACTTTATTCTAGTTAAAACGACCGACTTGTCATTTTATTATTTTATCAATGCAATAGGTAGGTATACTTACAATATTCATTGATTTAGTTTTCATTTGATCGACATATGCACAACTCATTAATACGTCATCTGGATTATCGAGGAAACATCCTTTGTAGTATTCAGGTTTACATTCCCCGGGTTGTCTTTGTTGCATTTCTTTATTCACCACCGCAATGTACAGCCCTTTGGGATCATGTCCAATTGCTAGGTTAAAAAAATAAGTTTGCACTAGAGGCAGTAGAAAAAGAAAAAGTAAAAACCTACAAAAAAAGAAATATATATATTAATAAATGTAAATATTAAACATTGAATTAATAAATGTATTGTTACAATAATATGTTTAGATTTATTTCTAATATTGTGCATAATAAATATTACCAAGTCTGATATATTATATAAGTATTCAAATTTCAAAATCACCATTATTATAATGTGGTTTTTAATATTAACACCAATTATTACGTATATAAGCATTTGAAAATGTGCATGATGTTCTATATTATATTTTACATTCAAAAACTTAATTTTTCATTTTATAATATACTTAGCGTATTTACTTACATCTTTTGCTGAAGAAGCAACGATACATTTTTGTATAAGAGGCAATTCATTCGGTTAAATCGGAAGACCCCATCATTTAATTTTAATTTTATGCTGCATTTTTTGGCAGCTAACTTTTTGAATGAATCATCAACCTGAAAGCCAACAACCGAAAAGTTTATTGGTTGTGTTCTATTTATTATGTGATTAGTTATGTATATAAGTATGTGCAATTATAGGCACCTGGGTATTGGAAGATGTTTCTTGTTTATAACTTAGTGTCAAGAAGGCTTCTTCTAAAGTAGCTGTATTACACCGTGCCATTAAAGTTTCTGGTGAATCTTCAGCCAATAAAATTCCCCCTCTCATCATTCCGATCTAATATTAAAAGCGAATTATTATTATTATTATTATTATAACTGAACAGCTAATAAACTATATTTATATAAAAACTAACTGTATGAGCCTGCCTCGCTTCTTCAATATAATGTGTCGTGATGATTATTGTTTTTCCTCTTTCAGCAAATGATACCAAATGGTTCCATATACTGTTAAAATCATGATGGGTTCAATTTATAAATCATCTAAAATATTAAATGTACAATATACCTATGACTTAGAACTGGATCTAATCCGACAGTAGGTTCATCTAATATTAAAATATTTGGATTATGCAAAAGGGCAACTCCTAATGACACTCTTCTTTGTTGTCCACCACTAAAAAAATAAACAATTATAATTTATTGTATTATTATTTTTATTATTTTTACAGATTTGGAATTTGAATGCAAAGCTATATAGCCTTGCACAGTGTTCCGTGAAAATGTATTTTCAAGTTCTGGTCTAAGTATTTTCTGTAATAAATTGTTATAAGTTATAACTAATATTATGGATTGGCAAACTTAAAATAAGTATATCTACGTTTCATGTTAAGTTCTTCCAAAGTATAAAGTCACATTATTTAATAATATAATTTATGGCAACAAATTTTACAAGGAGGTATTAATAGTTTATAAAAAAATATTATGTTAGGATTTATATAAAAATATTATCACGATTTTCATCGAAATAACAATAACGAAGGCTATTACGTTTTATAACGTTACACCCTGCACATGTTCGGACCGAAAATTGTTCATTATTAGTAACTTTAAATACGTATTATAATATAATACGGTTCTAGGGAAATAGATCCCTGGTAATCATAAATAATTAAACATTATCAAGTTTTTAAAGTTTTTTTTCTAGGAGAATAAATTTTTTTCTACAAGTAAAATTTAAAATGATTGAGGAAATAAAATGTATAATTTTAACCAATAATAAAAGTTCAAATAAATAAATCTTATAAATGTCGTTAAATGATTTCGTTATAATTAAAAGTTACAAGTGTATAGATCATAAAAATTGAAAAACAAAACCAATATATGGTTAAGGTTATACCTTATGATCATCCTCAACCCAAAATTAAATATTAAATAGAAGAAATTAAAAATCAAAATTAACCATCAGAATCTATTTTTAATATTTTAAATTTAAATTCAATAATCAGTCTACAAATTGACCTTCTTTCTTCCATCTTATATGAATTAATTGCGATAAACAACGTTTGTCCTTAGTCAATTTGTGTTTAATATTTCCTTCATTAATATAATTGTCAACTTTAATATTTTTTTATTGTTGCCACAATCACAATTATACACAATATAATATTATGACATCATGTTGTTTATTTGACCTATTATACTTAGACTTTTATGTCACGAACATTATTTTAATCCAATGGTTTGAAATGTAAAATATTTCTTCTACCTAATCGTATTCGGTTTTGGAAGAACAAAGACAGAAGACAAGTGGTTTCTTTGAATAAGTTATTGAAAGCTCTTTTAATATCCAATGTAACATGACTCATGAGTACATATTGTATTTCCAAATTTGTCATGATTTTTTAAAATAACAAATTAGTTTTTTCGAGCTAAAACGTATAAGTGATAATTACATAAAGTACCTATTAAAATAATAAATAATTAACTGAAAATAATACAATTATTGTAGAAACTTTAAATAAATTGATTGAACAATATTTAAAAGAAGAATTAAAATCAAAACGAATATTTTCTAATAACGATTTTTAATAATATTTACCTAAGTGTTTCAACTAATCTATTATCAGATGGAAGTTCTAATAGTAACGATAATTCTTTGGTCCTTTTTGCGATTTGTTCTTTATCCATGTTAAGCATACCACCATAGAACTTATACGTTTGTGCTATTGTTAAATGTTCATGTAAATTTAAATCCTGAAATGATAAAAATGTTAACAAGATTACTATAGGTATATCATTTGAAATGTATAACGTGTTTTCTATCAAAAACAAATGCAATAACAATTATCTTTTTAACTGTGTCAAAACACATGCAAATCATTTAACGTCAGTACCTATATATTTTAATATAAACATTAAGTCTGCACACATATGTCAAAGTCGTTTATGTTAATTCTGTTAAATGCACTAAAATCAAATATCTAGTAAAATATCTAGGAACGATATTCAGTTGTGCACGTCATATTATATACACTGACAAACTCAGATATAAGTTACTAAACAATAGCTTAACTTGGGCAAAATTATTACTCCACAATCGTCTTACAGGCATTAGTTTTCACATAATCTGGTTTCCTATTCAGAATAAATTGACATGATAATATGTAACATGCACATCCCATTAACTAATTCGAACATACTATAATCATATTAAACAGTTGTTCTCAGAAGAAAAAAATAAATTAAGGTAAACAAGATCGAGTTGAGAAAAAATGGATTTCGTATCTAATAAAAATTGTTTTTTTTTAACATTTACTGGAATATTATATACAATCTGTAATGGTATTTACAATATGCATATGTGCGACGAAAAATAATATATATAATATATATATGACGTACAAGACGTGGAGACGTGCTGAGAGAAGTCACCCCGTAGTAATATTAGAAATAAAAATTTAAAATAAATAAATAAATATGGGAAATATTATTATTCTAGATTAAATCGATATTATACTAGTGTCCACTACCTAGAAAATGTATTCACACCAAATATATCAATCGGGGCCAACCATAATTCCACGGGTTTTTGATCTCTATAGTAACACTTCAATATTCAATGATAAACATAAAACTGACCCGTTAGACATTTATGGGTACCCAACAATATCCGCTTTAACAATAGCCATACATGGTTCTCGTGATATATGTATTTTTTTTATCACCCAATGGATATGATTTCAAAAATGTACTGAAATTCTTACTTGTGGCATATATCCGATATCTTCTCTTTTAAACGCCTTCACCATTATATGACCAGAGTCCAATTCACTTCTACCGACTATGCAGCTTAAAAGCGTTGTTTTACCACATCCACTTGGTCCCAAAAGTCCATAACTGAAAATAACGTATAAATTGAAAATATATTACTTTTTTTTTATTTATAGAAGTAATATTTTATTATTTTAAAAAGTACAAATTACAAAAAATTAAATAAAACTTCGTACCTGCTATTTTAACATTGGAATAATACATATACTATTTTATATTCATCACCACCACAGTATTTTATTAAAGTCAGTGGTTTAGCTAGGAATTGGGGGGAGGGGGTTACTATAGGGTTTATTGAAATAATTTTTAATGTAATACTATAGTCAAGTCTAAAATAAACATGGTCAATAGGGAAGGGGGTTATACCCCCTAAGCTAACCCCACCCCACCACTGCCTACGTATCTGAAGTTGAGGTAAATTGGCCTCTAGAAACATTCGGAATGATCAAAACTATAGTCTACTAGCTGATCCCGTGCACTTCGTTGCCCATTAAATGTACCAACTCTATATTATGACTAAAACTTTGTTCAATTCGTTATTTAATATTCGGTGTATGGTGTTCAAAATTGATCTTAACTTTTCCGTTGACGGGAATAAAAATTCTGATTAGCAGCATTATATTATCTGGTAGTCAATCTACCTGATGTAAATCGCGGACACCGTTCTGTTTGTACGTAAGTGTATGATTTAACTCTAAAGTATCAAAGTTATACCAAGTTTGTCGTATTCCACCTATGGTGGATTAATATAATCAATTAATACAAAATCCTAACCTAACCTAACCGTACTAATATCAGATGAATAAAAAAAAACCGATTTAAACATTTTTAAATTAGCCTGTCTTCTTCCCAGAGGTCTAATCTACACACAAACATTCATTTATATATATATATATATATTGGAAAAAAAATACAAATCAACAAACATGCCCGATTAACCAATAGCAACCAATATATACTGTTGCCCCACTGTTCTATTTTTTACATTAAGATTTCCTACTTTTCCTAAAATGTTCTTTTTTAAAAATCTCCTGGCAATTACGAACATCTTAGAAAAAATTTGAGTCAAATTGGACCAGCCGTTCTCGATTGATGAGGTAACGATATTTTTCACGTTCCATTTTTTTATATATATAGATAATACACTTTATTGTCTTTATTTAAACATATAAATACAAATCGGGCAAAAAATTGAAATTGAAATGTTTTTTTAGTTCAGTCATCAGGTATAACAATTAGGCAAAATTATTAATTTAATTAATTTAAAAGTTAAAAAATCACTATGATGATAATACGAAAAGCATCCTTATTTTAATAACCTAACTTCACGAAGAATGGTTTATTAAATATACCTACCTTTTATTAATTAACCAATTATAATACATTTGAATATTGTGAGAAACGGTAATATTTGTAATTCGGACATTAATAAATATTTAAATTATGCAAAATGTTCTAATAACTTATAACTATAGATTTCAGATATTAAAGACTAATTAATTACCTCTCAAGTAATAAATTATAAATAACTAAATGGCATCGAAAAACATTTAACTGACATAAAGTATAATATTAGTACTCGGTAATTACTAATTATTCCGAACTTCAAACTTAATTAAATTGTATTATTAAATTCATTTTTTATGTTACTCTTCTATTATAATATAATTTTGTTATTATCGTGTCAATTGAATTAATCTCCTCACATTTTAAGTAAAATAAAATATAACATGACAAGTGCACGTAAAATATCACATTTTACCTTAACCATTAAGTACAATAACTTTCATCTTTTTTAAAAGAATTATATCAAACTTAATATCAACCATTGAACCATGCATAATGTATTCCAAATAATTTTGTACACGGCGTTTATTATTACAGGCACACTTTACATAAAATGTAATAATATATAATTTTGTTGATGGCATATTATTATAAATATATAACATTTTAAATTTAAATTTCATACAAAATATGTTAGGTATTACAAAAAAAAAATGTTCCCACATTCTAATGCCAGTTTTTTATAGCATTTTTAATAATGCTCGCAGTATAATAAATTAACTGTAGGTATAGTTTTAATTTTATTTAACACTAGTCTGGTTATTTCAATTCACATTTATGCATGTATTTCACTTTTTTATATTGCACGAGTATCTGCAATTTATGTGAATTATAAATATTAATTATTAATACATTTGCCAAAAAATTAGTAAATTGGTACAAAATCACATATTTAGTGGCTTGAAATGTACCGATCACCCATATTATACAATATGAATATTGAATTGTATTATTATGTATTATCGTTGTGAAATATATAAACTGTGGTCTATTATCAGATGTTATCCAACCAAAAATCATGCCGATTTGTGTATTATTTACTCCTTATTTATTTATTGCATGTTTCTAGATAGCATTTATATTAATATGTATGTATAAATTAGATCTTATTTCATAATGTTTCATCATTTGAGCTTGTGTGGAATTCAAAGTTCAATTTCTATAGCGGAGTAAAGATAAACGGCGTTTACTTGATTATATTTCTATTTGAAAATGTATTTTTTCTGGGGATTTTGAGCATATTCCTTAGATATATTAAATGGGTTTTCCAAATCTTCGTGTTCGTCCGTGTATAGAATTCTAATCTACTCTAAGTGACAAGATTGGTTAGATCGTTTAACCGAGGGAGAGTTCTCTCCTGAGTAGGTAAAGTATACGTATACTATTAACTGGGAATAGTGCGGTATGCACTTATACAGTTACATCCCGAGATATTATTTATACACTGTGATTCACCAAACATGCATGTTCCCTACTATTATCCTTTAATAATAGATTGGTTCAAATTTTGATTTTTAGAATTTTTAAGTATAACCATTACATATTTTCAAATACTCGTATTTGTTTAAACCATTCAAAGAGTGTCAATGACACAAGATTAAATTCGCCATTTTTACTGTTAATATTGTTAAACATGTTTTTTTAATTTTGATTTACATAATTCGGAAGTGCAGTATCTTATTTATTAAGGATATTATTCTTAATTATAACACAACAGAAACTATAAAATATATCTATTACTATATTGTTTAGTTATTATATTAACTCAGATTATAAAAAATTATACAACATTTTCAAATTTATGATATTTTAAAATATTATAAATATTTTATCATAGCCTATAATGTTATTCTTCGTAGGTACTCAGAGAATAATATTATAAGCTATAACTACTATAGGTATATACATAAACATTTTTAAAACAATTATCACCTTAATAATTTAAAGTGAAATAGAGAGGTTGACAAATAAAAAAAAGTTTGTATTGCCATAGGAAACCCTTTCCATAAGAAAAAAGTATCTAGTAGTAAATTAAGTATTTCAAAACTATGTCTTTCGATATACCTACTTAAAAATTCTAACTATCAGAATTTTATCAAATATATTTTTATAATATAAAAGTAGTCAGAGAATGCATACCTATTGAATCATATTGTATTCATACTTTTTATAATATCTAGTTATTATTTAGATTTATTTTACATGAGTTATAATGGGTTTGAAATTATAAAAATATTGTTAGCTTATATAAAATATGAATGATGACGATCCGTAGTGTGTAGGTACTGTGTAGACAACGTGTTTACATACTTTGAGTGTGCAGATAAACGTATAGTTCAATTAAATAGTGTAATACTATTATTTCATTTATAATAATAATTATATATATTTTTATTTTTATTATTCTTAGATTGTGAAGTCAATTGACGTCAAATGTACAGAATATTTTAAATTGTTGACACCAGCTGCTCTCCTATTAATTTAAATATAATATTAAATGTAGACGACGTAATTGAAGTATTAAACATTAATGAATATAAGATAAGTTTGTTTTAATTAGGTATAATAATATCTACAAATTAAAATTAAAATATAATACAAATTAAAATCTTACGATCTTGAATCATAATTCATTATTGTATCAAATCAGTTATTAAATATATATTTTCAAACAAATATGCTAATTCGTAAAGTTCCAAGGCCTGGAATACTTTAACCTAGCTCCATATTATTATATTAAGTAATGGATATTCTTGTAACTTGACAAAATGCGTGTTTACTTCAAAATTATACGTGTCGCAATGTCAGTTGCCAATTTTATTTCGTATTAACTATAATATTATTATTCATATTTTTTTCAAATAAATAAAAAACATACAGTTATAAGGAATAAGCTATACCTACACATATACATATCCGTATGTTTATGTACTGTTTATAGAATAACAGGAAGCTTATAAAACCGGAATTGATTAATATATTGTATTCTGACGGTCACGAGAATGTGCTTGTCATTCGACGAATAAATCAAAAAATAAAACTTTTTGAATATATATTTATAACTCAGGAGTGGAATTAAATTCAATGAGTGTTAAATAAATTTTGAAACAATAAAATAAATTATATACATTATAAAGTTTGTATCGTAAGTACATTATCATGATATTGTTCACCTTCTTCAAATTTATTGCAGTTACTAAATAATCTGTTTGTATATAATATATAAATATTAAATTCTCGATAAAGTGCAACTCTCTTACTTGTTATTTACGAAAAAATAAAATAAAATCGTTAAATTGTTTAGTCCTATCAGAATTTTTATACTCCTGTACGTTTCCTTGTTTTCAGCATAAATATGAAACTATAAATATTATGTATAACATTGGAATATACAGTATATAGGTACAGCAAATGTTTTTTTTAAATACTTTAATCAAAATATTACTGAACTTTGTTGAATATTAAATTAATTCTAAAATGTTTGTCAACATTGCTAAATTAAACCACTATTAAAATAACACATAACACAGTGTAGAAATAATTTGAAAACGCATAACCATATGGTATGTTTATTGAAATTTGGTAATATGTGTCATCGCCTGAATTAAATATCTCGATGACATGAATCACTTTTATATATTTCCGTTTAACGATTTTAGTTAAAATTAGAATATAAACACTTTCCATTTTTTGTAGCTTTAAACAGTGTGATTAAACCT